TCTGGATTTGACAGTAATTGTTTGAATGTCTTGTATCTTAAAACATACGTCCCTCACATCACTTAACATGGTTAAGATCGAGTGATTGAAAGCCCCTCACCTTTCTGTTTGACGTGATTGTTGAATTCTGGGTCTGTGGTTACCATGCAGGGCCACCAGGGATATCCTGACACCTTGGTCCAAACCAAATCACCGGCGGAAAAACGTACGTGCAAAGGCAACTCTACTGCAGCCTCGCCCACCAACTCTGGGATGAGATCAAGCTGTGGAAGAGGAACACAAATTACTCAGTAAATACACAGAAAATCAGAAGTACAGGATTCTGACACTTTAAAATGTAATTACTTTTCCAACATTCACAGAAAGCAAAACTTCAAGTAGTACACCTGCTAACAATCATAAACATGAGAAATTGTGGTCAAAATCTCGACACACAAGATTTGTTTCTTCAGTCTTAATTTTTTACATTATCAATTCTCCTTTTGTTTTGCCTTTATGGGTGTTTGTTTAACTTTATATTCAGCAGGCACTTTGGTTTTAAAACAAACTGTAAGCATATCTGTAGTACATGATAGTATTAATGTTTGTTTTTTTAAATAGTATGAGCCATATTGCTGTATATTGCACTTGTGTTACTAATTCCAACTTTATTATTCATCAAAAGAGAAACTATAATAATAACCTCTTCAGTCTCTCTGGCTTCGTCTTCAGCCTTTGTGTGGTCCAGTGGGTCCACAGGGATGGGAGAGGAACTTAGATTTATCTGAGGTTTTGGTTTGTGGGGTCTCCCGTTCCTTTTCTTTACTTCCTGTCTCATCTCTGTTCCAGATAAATTCTCCTCTGTGGTTGTGGCAAAACTGGTCCCATTGGCATAGCTCGGCTCAAACAGCGGCTGCTGAACCACCTGGGGTATCGTCACCTTTAGTTCAGCTTCAGTATGTGGGGTGCAATCGGGCTGATGTGTGCCATTTGTAGCAGGGGCCTCTGCGCCTTTGAGCATTGGTGTCTCTGGAGCACAAAGTGCGTCTTGGTCACCATTCAGCACTCGAGAAGTGAGGTCTTTGAGCCTCTCGTGGCTGTGGTTGTTATGACTGTGGCCAGCCATCTTCTGAAGGACACCGTCTTGTACTGTGGCGGCTAGCTGGGCAGCAGCTTTGTCCAACAGCAGAGTGGGGTCACTGCTCATGTCCCCCCCACCTTTCCGTACACTCAGGCACTCCGGCGGCTGCTTCATGCTGATCGGGTTGGCTGGTTCAGGCATTGAAGGCAGGGAGCTACCTTTGCTGTCCATCCCATCTAACCCCCTCCAGGCTCACTGAGCTACAAAACAGATAACACACACAGAAACTTATTATTCCACAGGTATTACAAGAAAACACACAAAATATCTATCATGCAATTGCACACAAAATATGATCTTCCTTATTCTTATTCCTTAAAAAAGAAAAAAAGCAATCTGGGATATAAATCCTGCAAGTAAAAACGCTACAAATTTTACAAAATGGCACTCACTCCTCCAGCGGAGCATGAGCAGAGAGCTTGGAGGCCACAGAGAAAACTGCACCTGTCACGGAATGTTCCAGCAGCGTAGTTTTGGATATTAGTATAAGAAAGTTGAGCGACTTGAATAGCCAGAAGGCGGACCTAACACCAAGCAAAAAAAACAACAATGCCTTGATTCAATCCAAACACATGCATGCATCACAACTAATAAGAAGGAGGTCAAGTCAGAGCCTTTTCTCGATTACATCCTTGCATACAAATAAACCCCACAAGGCGGGCTGAAAACCCCCATACTGCGACAATTTTTAGGCTGCCCTGATGTTGGCACAGAAGTAGCAAGTGGCTAGCTGCAGGCTGTAGGCAAAGCGGTGCGGATGAGGCAGGAGGCAAGGCTGCAGGCTGCACCGCATGCAGCCGAATGCCCAATGAGTGGGAGGCCACCGCATCACCGGCGAGAAAAGCCGCGGAAAAGGAAGCCGATTGCAGGTCGAATTCATGGGAGTAAAATACATCCAACTTCAACAGACAAGAAAGTGCACTGCAATTTAGTTTTGCAGCTGAGATGTAATGCAAGTGCAAGACGGCTAAACGCATCATTAACTGTAACATATTACAGTCACTTACATGCTGATCCCAACGTTAAACACAAGCTACATCCAGGGGGGGGGGGGGGGGGGGGGGGGGGGTTGCAGCATCATGTCATGCAAAGAGACGGGCTCCGACTAACACCTGGAGCGGAAGCCACGATGTGAACATCTTCATGGGGACACACCAGCCATGGGATAAAGCGGACAAGCGTTTCCCCCTCACGCCGCTGCACAGCCTCCCCTGTCAGTGCTACAGTCAGCCATTACACCGCATTCCAGCAAATAGACAAAGCCGCCGGCGCAATGCTAAATTCAACCAGCTAGCGCGTTAGCTCCGCGGTCACATTAAAGCGCAGACGTGTTAGAATTAGTGGTTTTAAGAATGTTATGTTTGCGATAGTGCAGTTTAAGTGTTTCGCTAACGTTTCACTGATATACCCAGTTTGCAGTCGCCATGACAGCTTTAAAAAAAAAGCTAACGGCAGCTTCAGCTACTTACATTACAACCAAGTCACATTCAACGTTAGCACGATTAGCTCGCTGGCTAGCTAACAGTTCCCCTTTGCTAAAATGGATGATCGGCTCGAACAAGTGTCCCCCGCTAAAAGCTTTCCGTCTGCCAATATTCGCGCAGTTGACAATAACATGAAAGGCCGTTTCTTTGTAATTACCTGTTAAACCTCCACTCGGTGGTTAAACGGAGAAGATACCCATATTCATCCAGTTAAACGGAGGATTTCATTCGAGTCGAATCAAAAGCTTGCGGGAAACTCAAACTCTCCGGCCGACCAGCGCGAAAAATACTCACTTCCGATTGGTCGAGAGCAGAACGAGGCTCCAACCGGTCCTTTCAAAAACCCAACCGTAGGAAGTAGCTGACCCCGGTGTCTCCCGTCTGTTTATCACTACAGTACACGACATAACTTCTCACTTTTTTATTAAATATATATTTATTCATTATTGAGAACTGTCATTTAAACGGGATGCAACTGCTTCATCATCTAACGTATAACTACTAATTATTCTCCGTTGTAATTTATTTGTCCCCAACCACAGAACCTTACAGTCGCCATGGTTACAGTGTGAATGAGGATGTACGTTAAAGATAAAGATAAACTTTATTGATCCCCCATGGGGGAAATTTTTGCATTAGAGCAGCTCAAGAAAACAGGAATATAATTATTAAAAATAAAAATAGAAGTTAATTACACGATATTACGTTATGTGATCATGCTGCCTTTAACAAATGTTAATGTATTTAACCTTTTTCTCAACATTTTTGACTTTTTTTTCTCGCATTTATTCTGGTGATTTCGACTTCTCCCCCTTTTCACTACTTTACTGTCGATAAGACTTTTCCCCTTTACATTTCGACTTTTTTTTCTCGAAGTGCACAATGGAAAATAAATATTAATCCTTTCATTATTTATTTCTCATGTCTTATCCTAATCCTCTTCCACATATTTATCTTGTCTGTCCTAATCCTGTTTCTTATATCTCATGTCTGGCCCTAAATCCTCTTCAGGAGCTACACAATAAGCAGTTAGGTTAGGTTAAATTGTATATATTAACTTTTTGGAACTTCAGGGCTCCTAGTGATTTGTTTATCAAATATATTATGGACTAGGCTTATTGTAAAATGTTGAGTAGGTCTATTGTCGAGGAGCCAGACACATACTATTGCTATTGTCAATGTCAATAATGTGTAACGAATAAAAATGTAGAAAAGAAAGAAATCAGTATAACGTTAGGCCTACTCTACCCCAAAACCCAAGTTATCTTTGGTAACTTACCTTAAGGTCTGCCAATGTAAAGTTTGCTGTTCGAAAAAGGCCAACTTTTGATCTGTTATTTGATTATTGCAACATAGATCTTGTACTATAAATAGTTTCCGTATATTTGTAGTAGTTTGCAGTCCTCTGGTGCATGGCCCTGAACCCTAGTCCTAATTAACCAGTATTTTACTCAATCAGCTTTAGCCTTTAGCCTAACTTAATTAAATGCAAAACACCACATAATAATCACAAATAGACCAACTTTTGTTTTTCTGCAGGCTGAAATACTGACACAACTGCGTCTCGGGCTGCATCACAGGCCTAGATACGTCACTCGTCCACTGACCTGGTTATGGCAAAGCAGAGGCACTGATTTTTTTCTCTATCAATACAAACACTGAACTGTAAATTATAGGATAAGCCAGCAGTACCAACAGACGCAGCTAGGGGGCGTAAAACACCTTTACGGAAATAATACAACTTCCGGCAAACGTTCGTCCTTCAAAGTATTAGCCGATTCAAAACGATGGCATTGATGGACCTCCTGGATCAATATTTCTCATATATCCTAAAAAAAAAAAAAAAAAAGTTATATAAGCTGTCATTCTGATTGTCCATGCTTTAAATTAACATTTCTTATTTTGATTCAGATCACATTTATGGGTAAGTTACACAATTATACAAAGTTATACAAAGTACGTGTTCGGCCAGGAGAAAAGATTTACAAATACATGAGATTAATTAAAAATACAAAAAGGAGAAAAACTCCTAAGAGTACAGAAAAGTAAAAAATAAAGAAAGAAAGAAACATTTTTTAAGAGAAAAGGAAAATAAATGGTAAGTTGTACATTTCAATTTAATATGTAGGCTATTTATTATACTAAATTTGTAGTTATTTCCCCTTGTGGGATTCATAAAGGTCATCTTTATCATAAAAGTCATTGTTTTTGTCAAAGCGACTTTGATTTTTTAGAACAGCGATTTATAAAACTAATGTATTATTATTATTATTATTATTATCTTTTTAAATATGGGCTTTTATTTTGTCAATAGAACGGAAGTGTCTCACTCCCCACGAACGCAACATTGCCCAACGAAAACGAAACACCAGTTTGACGTCACTCGTGAGCCCGGCCCGACTATCTGTCATCCGCGCAGAAGGAAAGGGCATGACATGGAGCTACATTTTCCTATGTACAATCATATATGCTTCGTGGACTGTTAAAAGCCTACAGAAGGGAGGGTTTTGAGTGTTTCTGTGTGTCGAGGTTTCGGTCCTATCGAGTCGACGTTTGAGGCTAGCTAATCGGCTAGCTATCTTGTAGACTTATTTACTTACTGTAACTGTTAACGGGTTCAAACAGAAAGCCTCCTCATGGCGTTAATCCTGTTTACGAGGTCTCGGGCGCCTCTAATGAAAACATCCAGGTCGTTAAAGAACGAATTCAGGAAAGGTAAGTTTTCTATTTGTTATTAATTATCACCATGGAGACGATATAAAGTCTTTACATTAACACAATGTTAAGAGTAAACTGAGCAGTAAAGGTCTAACTGAGGCAGGTGGGCCTCCTGGGTTTGTCGTGTTTTGGTTTCCAGGATGATGGGGGGGTGTGGGGAGGGGGGTGACTCAAGGTGACGGATAACTGAGCATCACACTTTAAACCGTGTGTTCATTATTTACAGCTACGTTACTGTTAATACTACTTTGCATTACGGCTGTATTACATGTTAAGGTTCAGTGTTATCACCTAGAGGAGCTGGGCAGCTTGGTGCTGTGTTGAGTGTAATGTCGGAGCTAAAACATGGTTTGGGATTCAGGTTCTTTGAGGACAACATGGTGCATGTTGAGGCCCCCTCCCTCCCTCCCTCCCTCCCTCCACTGCAGTCTGAGAGGATGCTCGTTGTTATGGCTGACATGTTCCCATCTGTTTAAATCCTGCACCCACAAGATCTGTCCTTATCCGACGTGTTGTGAGGGGTTATAAAAGTATAAAGGCTTTACATGTTGGCTCTTGGTGTGCTGATTTGATTTAATCAGCCTATGGAGCACTGCTTTGTGCTGCAGGAGTTAACAGCTTCCAGGCTCCTTTAAGGGCCCTTGTGAGCCTTTATTGACCAGGACACTCTTGATAAAGATTTTTTTTGTAATCTCAGTGTTGCAATAAAATGAAACATAAAGAAACTTGAAGTACAAATTTATCTACGATTGAAGGATGCTCAGAAATCCATTATAGTGCTGCTGACAAATCCCAGTCATAGTTCTGTGCTATACACTGATATCACTGTCTTTTATAATATTGGTGGTGTTTTGTTTGTTCTTACATCTATTTTTTTTGTATCTGTTTTTCTAACGGACCCCTGAGTCTGCAGATTATGATGATGATATGTTCATTGTTGATGTTAAAACAACCAATCAATCAATCTTAATTTGTATGGCACCAATTCATAACAAAAGTTCTCTCAAGACACTTCACAAAAAAAGCAGGTAAATTACCTTACTGTTGTTATATTATTTATTTACAAAGGAGCAGCTAAAAGACCTTACTCATCGTAATATTATCTACAAAGACCCAACATTAATCCATCGTGAGCACTAAACAACATTTAGCAAATTTACATCAAATTTACAGTGGCAAAGAAAAAACTTCCTGTAAGAGGCAGAAACCTGGAGCAGAACCAGACTCATGTTGAGACTGTGTTGGGTTTGGAAAGTGGGATTAAGAATGATGCAGAAAGAGGAAGAAGGATAGAAACAAACAGAGCAGCAAAATAAATAAAAGTGCATATTTAAGAAGATGACCTTTATGAATCCCACAAGAGGAAATAACTACAGTAATTTCCTTAAATGCTGTGTGCATTGCTACTTATTTATTTAATTCATATTCCCCCACATATTCTTATTCTTCATGCATTTCTCCACTCATTTGCCTTGAATGGATCATAAAAATAAGAGGTTCAAGTTATTTCACATCACCTTGTGTATGATAAGCATTTCATTATGGTTGTCATATAACCAGATAAAATATTAAGATGACACATTTGTTTTGTTAAATCTAATAAATCGGTTTCATCCCAGACTTGAGTGAGAGATGTATAAGACATTAGTGGACACATTAGGATACTGTCTCCACTTTAGTCGGTGCATTAAAGCTGTGCTTATAAATAGATGAGAGGGTCATAAAATGGAATTTGTCCGTCTGCACCGGGTAGCAGGAGACGGTGTTCTTGGCTTTAGGCCCAGATTATCAGACAAATTGAAAGGTCAGTGTCTGTAATAATATCTCCACCTGAAACAGACTGAGTCTCATTTCAGTTTTGTTGTACGTGTGCTGCCATTAGAGCTACCTGAAGTGTAGGAACATACACAACCTAATGTGCATGTGCAGTACATGTTTTCATTGTGAAAACAATGATAACAAGCTGTCTGTGGAGTTTTGAGCACGCAGAAATCAGACAGTTTCACCTCTGATTTCTCTGCTTTTGTTGGTAAATAATTTTCAAGTCGTAACAACCAACTAAATGTGAACAAATCAGGATATTTTTAAAACTCTACCTGCTTGAGGTCAATATTTATGGGGACCCATGACCTTTAGTTCCCAAGTTTTACTGCTGAACATTGACCAGAGTGCTGTCTTTGCAAAGTAGTCATGCAGCGGTCGTTAATCAAAGGTCGTCAGGTCAGAAGTTTTAAAGATTAAGGAGTTATCTAAGAGTGTAAATAAAATAAAGGTGGGACATTTGTGGTAGATAGAAGAAGAAGCTTTAGTGGTCTGTTAGGAGGCATCTGCAATGACATAAGGGTCAATGTACTGAGCGATTACTCATTTAAAGTGTTTTTTTCCAGCCGAGCTCACAATTATTTCCACTCACTTCCCCCTCTGAGATGCTTGAGCGTGTACATCTCAGTTATCTGCACTTACATTTATTCTGAACGACTGGTAGCGTCGCCGTCGCCTACGTTAGAAATGACCTACAAACGTCTTATTTTATGGGTTCTGTGAATGGAGAGGCGCTTGACATTTGAGAGCCACTGACTGAAGCCACATGCTGAGAAAGCCGGGCATCTCTAAACGACGCACAGTCGGGACTGAAGCTTACCAGCAGCCTGTGTCATTAACACAAGTGTTTAGAACCCGTTTCACGTGTGTTTCTGAACCATAAACAGATACATGTGAAGTTTAGCTAAGGTTGTGGCGGTGGATCTGTATGCACAGCTCTCAGTAGTTCTGTTTGGGGATCCAGCAGTATCAGAGAATCTTCTGTCAAGTGTGTTTTCCCAGTGATAAACCAAATATGTCGCCTGCTACCTTTTCACCCGAGGGTAAAACATGTGAGGCCACACTTTGGATGAAACAGCTTTTTTTTAACTTCAGATCCAGCAGAAAGTTTCTCAGGTTGTGAATTAAAAACATGGTGAATTACAGATTTTTGTTCTGTAAAAAGACAGCTAAGATCCAAAGTGGAAAATGTCTTCACACCAAACTAATAAGGGGAGCACTCTGAGCACTGACTCCAGGCCTGTTGCGGTGCCACGCTGTGAATGAGGAAGTGTTATTAGGCTGCAGTTTTTTAGTACTTCACAGCCACACAGCTGCAGGCTGCAGGTCGCGCGTGAGTGCATGCTGCTGCACGTAAAAGTCAGGCAGGCAGAGCGTGACCATGTCATGACCTCTCCTGGCCAGAGACCTACTTTATTTTGAGCCGAGACCAAATCTAGGCCATTTCTGTACTAATCAAAGACCAACATGGCTCATTTATACTGTAGATTACTTTACAAAAGCTACAGTAAAGTTTAAGATTTCAACATTAATTCAGATCTTTCTCGCTCCCCTGCTTTGTCGTCATCGAAATCCACATGATGCAGAACTTTAACTTATTTCTCAGGAGTCTAGATCAGCCGAAAAAACAACCCCAACATTTTTAGGTCACTGAACTTGTTTCTATAGCAACATTGACCTGCATGGGAAAACAATATTGCAGCAACACTGCTTTTGATTTACGCCCTCATACCGCATCTGTATTTACAAAGACGTTCATTCTGTTAAGAAACATCACTGTGGATCGTATGAAAGCTTTCTGTTTCTTATTGAGGTTTAGTTTGGCTTCACTGTGATCTTGCGCATGACTCATGACGATCCCTTCTCTATTCAGTTTAGTTGAAGCAGAGCAAATAAGAATGTGTTGCCATGGAAACATAAAATGTAGTTGTGCAATATTGCTGAATGAATGTTTAAAGTCTTTGGAAATGTTAGTTTGTCTACAACACTATGACAATATATGGAGCTCTTTTGAAGATTCTTCTTTTATCTGACGCTTGTGCCTGAGAGTAGAGCGGGTCAGATTGTAACGCCTCAGAGGCAAACTTTGTGCTAATTGAAGAAATGTGGTCTTTGAAAGTGGTGTAAATACATGATTACTTTAGTGGTATAAATAAAAGCCCTACATCCAGATTAAGAACATAAGTATCTACCTAATGTGATATATCGTGGACTGAAAGAGTTGTGAATGTGAAACCAAAACTATAAAACCCCAGGGTGTAAAAAGCCACAAAGGAAACCCTGCAGCATGGTGAAGCCTCTTGCAGAGTCCAGGTGAATGCTACAGTGTTAGCGGTGATCTAATGTATTTCCAGGGTTTTCTCTCGGTGCTACAGTTGCTGGTCGCTCGGGCCACAAAGGTGACTCTGTTCCAGTAAACTCTCTGTCCTCCTGGCTGCCTGCCAGCAAACAGCCTGTCATGTTCAACCAGGCCTTGCTGGATTCACTCCAGCCAGCCACGTGACAGCCACAGGAGGAGGAGAGGGGGGGGGCGTGGCTTGGCCATGTGCTCTGAGATGATAGGTTGAAAGTGTCTCACCACTCCGCCTTCTCTTTGCATTTACGTCATACTGATGGCGGCCTCGTGGGGTTTGGGAGCCTCACTGTGGGCCCCACAGAGGGTGTTTAGAGTCCTGGGCCTCTGAGAGCGATGACTGCAAAGATCTTAACAGAGGAGTGATGCACCACATTTGTTTTGAAGAGAAAATACACAACAGAATATTCCTTAAAAAATTGAGTATCCAAGATAATCTTTTAACAGATTGAGGGGAGAAGACAAAATAATTTAACGGTAATAGAAAGAGCAGATTAAAAACAATTATTTTTAACCTTTGTCCTCACATGTTTCTTGGGACCTGATAAAGATATTGATGTAATGAAACCGTTTAAAGGCCTGTCACAGATGGCAGCAGACTTCATTTTGAGACGGTAGTTTATACGAGCAAAATGTTTGTCAGTCCATATTCAGTTTATTTCCCCGGCTTTCCACTGCGATTATTTTAAGTTAAGAACTTTTAGGAAAGGAGAGAGAACGCAGAAAATAACATAAAAATATGAGGGGAAAAATGCAGCAGACTTTTCTAACATTTCCAGAGAAAGACCATTGTCAAAGAAATAAAGAGTGACTTCAGTTTTTACAACATTATTTCTCAATCAGTTCAAAAAGTGCATGTTTTCATGATGTCATATCTAAAAGAGTAACTTCAGATAAGGAGTCATAAGGAGTCAGTAACGTTAATGACCAGTGAGAATTTGCACACAGCTGCTGATGTGTGATCGGCTCATCTATTTGTCAGGAGTGTTGTGTGCTGTATCGTGTGTTTGTGTCTCTGTCCATCTAATGGCTTATTGTTATCAGAGCACAGCGTCTCATGTTTGTTTTTTCTTCCTTTCAGGGAAACTACAAGATGGCGCCTGTTTCAACTGCACAGCGCTCAGACTCTCCAGTCAAAAGTAAGCCACAAGAAATGCAGCTGAACGTGAAACGTCTCCAGTCCCTGAGAAAGTTCTGCATGCAGTATAATAAACCATTGTGAAATGTAGCTTCAGTGTCAGAGGTCTTCCAGGCTTTGTGGAGTTTTTTGTGTTGCGTAACCAGGAGGAAATTTTGCTTGTGCAACAAAGAGCACACCTTTTCTTCTAACAGGCACTTCCATGAATTTAAAGATTAAGTCTTCCTTAAGCTTTCTTAAACACTGTTTTATGTGAGAGACCACAGGAAAGTCACAAAGCCACAATTGTTTTTGTTTTGCGACAGTGTAAAAACATGACAGCTGATGAAACAGCCTTTGATCGGCTCTATGAAACTATACATTTCCCTTTTGTAAGAAAGTTGTTGACTGCTAAATTATTCTCTTTTGTGCAAAAATTATTTGAATCCAGTTGCACGATTTCCAAGTCAGTATTTATATTTAAGCATCACAGCTGATTATTGGTGTCCCACATTGCCTTACAGCGTTACTGGAGTACAAGAGGCTCAGCGAGTGCTTCACAAACACACAGTTAATAGCTAGTCCACCTTGTACCCCCCATTATGCCTCTGTTACTACTTCGATAGTGGATGAGGGACAAATGACTGCACAACATCGTTCTGCCTCTGTGCGTTACACATTGCAGGACCTTTCCCCCTTGAACTGTCAGTATGTCTGTGCCAAGTGTTAGACTTGTGTAAATCAGTGAACTTCTAGTGATGAAAGATAAAACAGAAAATTCAAGTACTTGGTCTTTTTTGATTCTCAGATTTTTTGACATTTTCAAAATCCAAAACATAAAACACCAACCAGAATTTACATTTTTAGACACTTCAAATCCATCCTTTTCTGAAGATTATTTCCTTTTCAGTATCTTTGTATTCTGAAGCTCTTTATCCTGTTTTCTCCTCAGACTTGATGGGCTCAGACTCGGCAGTCCCGTCTCTTCATTTGGCCCTTCCCACCCCTTATCAGACGGCTTCATCGGCCCCAACCCGGGCGCAGACTCACAGCGGCTCTACTGCGTTTGTGCCAGGGGCCTCTTCTTCACCTTACCCTGCAATAACAACGGGCCCCCAGTGGACGATAGTGCGACCACAGGACATCGCCGGCGTTCGGCGGATACACACCTCCAGGAGAAGACTGGACGATTCCAAGGTGGAGAAGTCGCTGCAGGCGTTAAAGGAGAAGAAGAAGAAGCTAGAGGAAGGGGGGCCTGTGTACAGCCCGACGCTGGACGCAGCGCCTGTGAGAAGGACGCTCAGGCAGTGGGTTAAAGATGAAATTAAGCACTACTATCACGGCTTCAGGCTGCTGTGGATTGATACCACTATCGCTGGGAGAATGCTGTGGAGGGTGCTGAACGGACACCCGCTGTCCCGCCGCGAGAGGAGACAGGTGAGGACTGCAGAGGGAAAGGGAGGCTTCCAATGGTTTTAGAAGGTTTTAATCTGGTGATTTTATCAAATTCAATTTACCCTGGATTTGACATTTTTTTCAATGCAGTCTTGTGCAACCACTACCACACTGAAAACTGAAGACAAATATTCAAACTTTCAGAATATAAAGTTATTGAATGTGAGTTAAAAAGAGAAAGTCAATCTTAAAAGTGAAGATTACACATAGTCACACGTGCACAAAACTCTTGAGCTGCAAGCGGCCGTATTTTTCACTCCGGCTTCACCCAGACATTTTCCTGCCAGCCCCCTGAATTATGCATGAAGTCGTGGTCAGCTATGTGAGAATGCAGCAGATAGTTTGCAAAGTTCACTGCATGCCAGCGGGTGGAGTGATGATGTGTGCATCTTACAGCAAGTTTTCCTGGATGTTTTCTGCTGCGTTCTCACATCGCTCATCCCATCTCTACAGAAGTTTTACAAGGAGCCCGGCAGGGAAAAAATTCCAGTATAAAGTCGGAGTGACAAATAAGGCTGTTTGCATTTCACACCTGCCGCTCATTCTGAAAATTTCAGGAGTTTTGTGCATGTTTGAAGCACCATTTGTCATCAGTGATGATGCAGTTGCAAAGATTCTCTTAACCCAGCGGTTCCCAAACTTTTTCTGTGAGCCCCCAGTCGGCAGATGACGGTATTTTCAAACCCCCATCACCATACACATCAACATGTAGCGACATACACGATACCTATTGTTTAAGAATTCATCTCAAATAGAATAGCAACTTCAGTTTGTGACAGCAAACTAAAAAGCAGCTTTTAAAGAGGCAGCAATTAAAAGTGAAACTGTAACATCAATTTGTGACATCTGGTGTAGTCTCATTTTTCAGCCCAGGAATGTCCTCTTACACAATTTCCCTTGCTTTGCTAGCAGTGAAACTTGACTTAACAGTGATTTAACCCCTCCATCGAACTACGTTTACTTATAGTAGAACAACTTAAAGTAGTTTTTGTTGAACATGCATTGAAGCTAACATTTTTGAAAGGGAGGGAGGGAGGGAGGCGGGGCTAATTTCTTATTTTCTGATCATGTTTGGCATCCGACAGTATTCTGCCAGAAATTCCTGGGCCACAATTAGAATTGTTGTTGCACGTTTATTGTAACTCATCCTGCTATTCCTTCTAGAAATTATTGGGAATGGTTTTTATCTTTTAGCATGACAACAATCCCAAACGCACCGCTAATGCAGTGACATCATATCTGGAGATATAAAATCAGCTGATATAACACTGATAGTCATAAAATGGCCTCAACTGGAGTCCAGCCTTAAATATTATAGAGGCATAGAAATAATTATATTTCCTGTATTTTCTGTTCTTTATCTTAAGAGACTAGTAATACATGTTGATAATCCAACTTGAACTTATGCAAAAACAACAAAGCTAGTGGACTCTTAAGACTTTTACACAGATCTGTACATGTGATTGTTGTTGCTCTGTTTTCGCAGAGGTCATCCTCAGGTTTTCAGAATTATGGTAAACTGAACCTGGTTTTTAAATGTTGACGCGAAACCTTGAATCTTTAAGCCAACGTTCCCAGTTACAGAAAGTTATTTAAGTTATTTTTCCAGTGTTACTGAAGTCTCACAGAGCAGATAACCAGCGTGAGTTCAGAAGATTTCTGATGACTTGGCTCACTTAACGACCAACAACGCAGACATCTTGTTCTGCCGTGTGTAATCCACAGCTTCCCCAGCCTAATGGGATCAATTAAAGAAACTGGCTGCACGCTGAGTTTTACACTGAGCAGATTGGGCTTCTTGACCAAAGCTCTTTAAGGAGAAGCTTTATGTGATGCCTCTTTGATTAACTCTAATGCCAGCCAGTGTTTACACTTAGCCAAAAGTTTCTCATCATTGTGACTGAGGTGAGGACGACTGCTCACAGCGGGAGACTATCTCCTGAGGTGAGATGTGACTTAGGCTTAATTGGAAATAAAAGTAGACATTCATTGTTTTTTCATTGTTTTTGCATGCAGCGAGGTGATAAAATGTGTTAAAAGGTCAGACTCTTCCTTTACTGTGATATGATTAGCTTCTCGTTCTGAATCCGCCCGCCGTGTGACATTAAGACCGGATCGAGCATTCGGTCATGTAACACAGGTCTGGCAAACAGCAAAGTGTCATTTCAGGGAAGGTGACCTCGTCACTTCAGGACACACTCACACACTTGGTATCCGGCGTTAATAGTACAGGAAAGTACGGACATAGTGGCCATGATTGGCTTGCTTTGATGATCCAATTAATGAGTGAAATAATGTATTTGTTTGTGGGTAACTTGGCCTCCACTGCCCCCGTTTTAGCATCTTTTTGTGTACATAACAATAGAATGGATTCGCTTTTTTAACACCTAAATTGACATCAAAACAAATCATTCACTTTGATTAATCGTTGTTTGTCTCTAGGGAGGACGGGGTGGGGGGGAATCAGCTCTCTCTAAAGTTTTGATTTTGGACTTCAGTACCCATTTTAAACGATAAGTGTCAGAGTTACAGATTCATTCTTTAAGTACACTCGTACATGAAAATGTACCCTGTCCAGTTTTCAGTAATTCTTAATGTAGAGTTAAAATGCTTGCTTTGACATTACAGAACTTATTTGATAAAGTTCATCCAGCGACAAGATGATTTTATGTTAATTCTTTCTCAGTTAAAAACTATTAGAAGTGGACTCACAGCATCCATGTTTCTATGACAACGTAGTTGAGACATTAAAGTTAAATGTACTCATCCTAAAGAGGTTTGTCCCAGGTTACACACACACACACACACACACACACACATCAGTGTTGTTGAGCTGCTGGTCAGTGCTGATGATGACCAGCGTTTCCCCCCTTCATTAAATTCACCACAGACCCATCTGCATCTTTTCACATGCAGCTGACTCCCTCTGAGCGCCATCTACACTCCATTCATCTAACCTGGACTGGTTTTTTGCCTCCTTAATCTCCTCCTTTCATATTCACTTAAAAAAAACTCAGGCCTCCATTAAAGGCCATTTTAATCTGTCCCCCCCCCCCCCCCCCTCCTTTTGATGTGGGACTCTGGGAGATGATATACATGTCAATGGGACCGCGGACAAAGGCCTTTTCACTCATGCTGGCCTTAATCCTTCACCCTCCTTTTCCGCTGACATGCAGGTGGACAGGGGCGGAGAAAGAAGGACTCGTGTTCTGGCCTTCTCTCCTCAGGGGTTTGCTTCTGTAGATGCCCGGGTTTGGGATTGTGTCCCAGGACAGTCAGTAAGCCACAGTTGGACAGCTGTACAATAAAGTAGCCCACTGCTGGCCTGGTTCCTCTCTAATCTTTGAGGATTGTTCAGGTCTGTGTGCCGAACAAATGTGCTTCCTGTAGGCTCAAGGGGACAGTTTCTGAGCCTTGTGAGGCAGAATGTTCACGTTCACTCGGCGCCTCAATGCAAAATAAAGCACCAATGAATTAGGAGGTTTCTGTTGCCGTGGAGATGTATAGGCCCGGGGTTAAAAGTGCTGACTGCTGGAACTGTTATTAGAGGGATTGAGCAGGCCGATTGTACAGCGGGACAAAGAGGATGAGGTAAACACACTCCTGGCTTTATGTGTCACTGTTGCCCTCTGGTGGCCACATGCAGAAAATGCAGCCTGCTGAAATGAAGGTTAATCGAAGGCCACATGACCTAGGACTAGATTACATTTATTTAATACGTTTGAACTATTTTTAACTCAGTTTTTATTTCAGTTTCTTTTCAGGCTTTTTGGGCCTTTTTTGGCACCACCAGCCGCATTTTAAACAATCTCCACATTTCTCAAAGAAGCACACATTTGTTTTTAAGTTTGCATTTTTATCTGTTTTTAAACAAGTCGATTCTAATTCAGTTTTGTCTCTCCAGTTCCTCCGAACGTGTGCAGACGTCTTCAGACTCCTCCCCTTCCTCGTGTTCATCATCGTTCCTTCATGGAGTTCCTGCTTCCCGTGGCTCTGAAACTCTTTCCCAACATGCTGCCGTCCACATTCGAGACGCAGTCCAAGAAGGTAATCAAAACACTGACGCTGCATGACACGGACAAGATGCATCAAATCAGTATAAGCTTTTATTTTGAAAGCTGCTGTAGGTGCACTTAAAGACACATTAGCACAACGAAGGCTCCAACACAACGCACATCCTTTGTAGAGTACATCATGCTGGTTGCAGATTCACAAATATAATACGATATATAATTTAAAACAATGCTGCAAGAATATAACTGACAGAAGATTATCCTGCTGTATAGTTGAACTTCAAACAACATTTAAACATCTTTTGAAAACAGGAAGTGAATCAAAATGTTGTTTATTTTGGTCATTATGCAGAATAGTTTTCACCACTGTGAATTTGTTTTCAGGAGGAGAGGTTGAAAACGGAGCTGAGGGTCAAACTGGAGATGGCCAAGTTCTTGCAGGACACCATCGAGGAGATCGCTCTGCGGAACAAAGCCGCCCAGGGAAACGTGACGGAGGAGTTCTCCACCTTTTTTCAGAAGGTTGGTGTCTCACTGAGAAAAGTGGGCCTTTCTCAAACACCTATCTGCAACTTCTTCATACACACACACTCCGTTTGCAATTAAAAAAATAGTAGTAATATCATTCAGAGGTTAAAATCAAAACTTTATATTATATTCAGGGTATAATTTGGTCTTGAAAACGGTTTATTTGATTGAGAGAGACTCACAAAAATTAATCATCTATGAAATATGAAGCCTTTTTCTCTCATACTGTGGAGAGATTTTCATGAGTCTGCTTAATGAAGACAACTTGTTACTTGAGCGACCCCAAACCACGGGAACTTTAAGCTCCTGCTTCCGTGGAAATGTATTTATTCCCTCCAGCTTAGAGGAACGTACTTCATTCACCATGCCAGACTGGAGTGTGATTGTGGAGGGACAGGTTTCAGAAAGGCCCTATGACTCATGAGATGTTTAGAAATGTTCTCACTACTGCCCTCTGGTGGTAAAAACAGAGGCTTGTCTCCTGTAGTACTGGTTGTTGAAATTTTTGGTAATAAATGTTAAAATTGACATTTGAAATGTGATACCAGGAACTTTATTTTCCACATTATCAAGTAAAGCTGCAACCTGTTGAGAAAAATGCTTTTACATTTCCTTTCAGTGTGAAAAAACATGTTGGAATTTGAAACAAGTGCTCTCAGTTTGAGACATCTTTCCTCATGATTTGGAAAGCAGACACTTTTTCCTGCGCTAGATTTTAGCCGACCTTCATCCCTCAGAGAAATCAAACCATGACTCTTTTCTTCTTTGCAGATCCGGGACTCCGGGGAGCGTCCGAGTAACGAGCAGATCATAAAGTTCTCCAAACTGTTTGAGGACGAGCTGACGTTGGACAACCTGACCCGACCTCAGCTGGTGGCTCTCTGCCGTCTCCTGGAGCTCCAGTCCATCGGGACCAACAACTTCCTCCGCTTCCAGCTCATCATGAAGCTGAGGGCGATCCGAGCGGATGACAAGGTGGGAATAAAAACGATGTTACACTTTTATTCAAACTAAAATCAAATGTTGGGCAGAGAGAGTAGAGTTTTTAACACATTCATTATGACAGTGAGCCTATAATTCAGTCCTCTGCATGTTCTCTGTTTTTCCAGCTGATTGCAGAAGAAGGGGTGGTGAGTCTGAACGTGAACGAGGTGCAGGCCGCCTGTCGTGTCAGAGGGATGAGATCTCTCGGAGTCACAGAAGAACGACTGAGAGAGCAACTCAGCCAGGTAACAACCACGACACCAAGGGAGGATATTTTTAAGGATTGAACTCTTTGTGCACACTCTAAAACATTTCAGGAGATGTGTTATTGTCTTGTGTTTGTCCATGTAAGATCATATATTCGTCTAAACCTGCGTTATATTATGGTTGTCTTCTTGTAGTGGCTGGAGCTGCATCTGAACCAGCAGATCCCCACGTCCCTGCTGCTGCTGTCCCGAGCCATGTACCTCCCCGACACGCTTTCCCCCGCCGACCAGCTGAAGACGACTCTGCAGACGCTGCCCGAGATGGTGGTATGTTAAGAGTCTGGAGCTTCCTTTGAAACGACGGTGAAAGGGGATCACATAACTGATCAAAAAGAAGGGGAAATAAATGTACCTTTGTTTTGGTCTGTCCATTTCAATAAAGATATGGATGATTAGTTAGAAAGTAGAAAAGCTTGCGCTGCATGGTTTAGTTTAGTTTGGTGGTTATTTGTCTCTAAATTCACATATTTGTGGTACTCACTCTTCTTCTCCAGACGAAGGAGGCACAGTTGAAGGTGGCAGAGATGGAGCTCTCCCAAGTGGACAATAAGACGAAGGTGGAGACGATGCTGCTGGAGGAAGAGGCCATACGCCAGGACAACAAGGACAGGGAGATGGAGAGGCTGGCGGATGCTGCCGAGAAAGCTGCCAGGGTAACGACTCTTTATGATGAAGATTTTAGGTTCAGGATACTTTGTTTGGACCTGAAGATTTGTTTTTTGGAGACAGATGATGACATCCATTATGACACACTATTACAAAAACATCACATCAAGCCTGGCTCAAACTGCAGGAGTTTTAAAATCCTGCCTTTATACCACTCACTCACTCACTCACTCATTGGTTCCTGCAGCCTTGAGTCAACCCCGCAATTGTCGGGAAGGAGGAATTGGACCTCAAACAATTGAATTTCCCTCTGGGATTAGTAAAGTATTTCTGATTCTGAAATTCGCTGGGATTTCCTGCAGTGTGAGCCAGAACAAACTATTTAAAACATACCAAAAACATAAAAAAATCCTTAAAAATGATAAAAGTGCTCAAGGTTTCAACGGTCAGATAAGATAAGATAATCCTTTATTTATCCCATAATGGGGAAATTTACATTGTTACAGCAGCAAAGAACAAAGATTGCAAACAAAAAGTGAACACAGTACAATTGAAATAAAAATAGAAAAATTAAGAATGTACAAAAGGGCATGTAAGAGAAAGAAATAACAATCAATAAAATCCCTTAAATAAAAAAAAAATTCTTGAATTAAGCCAGAGTCAAAGCAAGTTTTGGACCAAAACAAATAAATATGTGCAGATATCGCGAGGTGAGAAATGAAAGCTTTTCATTCTTTCTGCTCTGTAAAATGGTGTTTTGGTTTTAAACATCCTAAAATGATATGCAAACAATGTCCTTTGAATCTTTGTTGTTCTGTAGTTATTTGTCTGATTGAGCGTTTCGTTGCTCTGTGCAGGAGGGAGAGCTGGAACATGAAGCCGAGCGGGCTAAAGCTGTCGATGCTTCAGAGACTCTGAAGGATACGGCCCCCGTCATAGAAGGACTGAAGGTAAAGTCTGTGAGCATGGAGTCAGAGAGAACATTAAATAATATTTGATGTATTTATTTGATATAAAGATGTGGTTGTATATTTGAATGTGGTCAAACAGTAGATCATTTTTCTTCCTTTAGCCTGACAAACTCGTCCAGCGTGAAACATTGATTTTGATTTTGCATACTGTACTTTATGTCCAGGACTGTGATTCATGTATTAACCTGTTGCATCCTTCTCATGTGGTCACTTCTGTATCACACAGTTTGAACAGTGGCAGTCATTCCTGCGCTTCCAGGTTAGGTTTTAAACGATGTCTCCTCCCTAATGACCCTCACATCCCCACCGGTGGTTAATCCCTGCACGCACAGCATCTGCTCTTTCTCCGAGCGGACCCCAGATGACGGTTAAACAGCAACTTGCATCTTATTCTGGCATTTGATTAAACTATTTCAGTCTGCCTGCCTTTTGATCTCTGGCCCAGAAGGAGCGAGAGGGTAATCCCAAAAGTACAGGAAATAACCTCTAAATGTACATTTGAGTGGCTGTGATGAGATGGATGTTGACATCGGCCTGCAGCGGGGAAGAAAATGAAGCGAGGGCAAACCACTACAGCTCGTATTTAGCTTTGTGTGTTCTTAAGCAGGAGGAAAAGCAGACAGGCAATCATTGCAAACACTGGAATCAAATAATATTTCCTTTTGACTAGACACAAATGTGGTTGTCTTGGTCAACATTTCCAAGTTGTTCTTAGCTGATTAAAGAAAATCCCACTAACTCGGTTAAAAGAAATGCCAAATATAACGTGCAAATTCTGCTTGGCCCGCATCTATATGAACCTCTCCTTCTCTTTTCCTCGTGGATCCTTCCAGGCTGTGTCACTGAGCGAGATGAACCCTCCCCTCTTTATCTAACAGTCCTTACAGCGCCGCAGAGTTCTCCTCCTCATGTGGTTATGTGTGTATTTAAGGGTTATGGCGAGTATCCCTGTGTCCTCTAGCTCTTCCCTCATTTACCCCTTTTTGTGTTTTTTCGGGTTGTCTCTGATGTGGGTTTTATATAAAATGCACATGTGGTATTGGTTAAACGATTGATCTTTTGACCAACTTTTAATACACTGACTTTCATTCATTTAAGAGGGAAAATGTTGAACTTTAACTGCTGTTTTTTAATCGTTCTTTAAAGGGGACATATTATGAAAAATCCACTTCATCAGTGTTTATGAACATATATTTGGGTAACCTGAGAGTCTACTGACCCACAAAATGTGAAGTAAATCCATCCAGTCCTTTGTTTGTGGTCTGCATAAGTCTTACAACACAGAGACAAATGCTCCGTTTCAAATGTGCTCTCCTTGTGATGTCACAGTGGGATTCTGGTAAAAAAAATCCCCTCCCCTCCCCTGGTATCTCCACCCATGGAAACCAACCCCAAGCCTAGATCAAAACTTTTGCACAGGTCCGTCATTTTTATTCTCGCTACAGAGGAGTGATGTCTACTGGGAAAACTCAGGGGGCGGGGTCATTGCATTTAAAGAGACACACACACCAAAACGGAGCGTTCTGAGAGAGCTGGTTTATACAGGCTCACAAACCTCCTCTGGTGCTTGATTCATGTTATATTTTGACCAAAGCACAGCACAGATGTTTCATTTAGACCACAGGGGGACTGTTTGAAAAGCTGGAGAAGGGGGATAATATGTCCTCTTTAACTAAAAGAGCAAGTTGAAGGTCCTTTGCTTCCTACAACTTATTTAATGTTTTTTAAAATGCCTGTATTTAACAGAAGGTTTTTTACAAAAGTAGTTGATGTATTTCATGTCATTTCAATTTGATTCAGTCGTATGTTTGTGTTCCAGGGCGAGGAGATCACCAAAGAAGAGATTGACCTGTTGAGCGACGCATGCACGAAGCTGAAGGAGCAGAAGAAGCTGCTGACGCTGGAGAAGGAGGAGCTGGAAGAACTGAAGGACGACGTCCAGGAGTACAACGAGGTGTCTGTCGTAGATCTGTCATTTATTGTTGTATTAATGCCATTCAAATCACAAGTTTGTTAAGAGTCTGTGTTAAATACTTGATTGTGATTGGCCAAGTCTGCTGTCCATAAATAGCACACTGTTGTCAAGAAGTGTTCCTATGAAGAGCCGTAGGTTTGTTAGGGATGCAGCTTTAATCACAGACTCTGAATATTTCAGAGTAAGTCATGTATGCATGGAGCAATGTTGGCTGAGTGGTTAGGGCGTGTGCCCCATGTACAGAGGCTGTAGTACTCCAAGCGGGAGGCCCAGGTTCAAATCTGACCTGTGACTCCTTCCCCCGCTGTCTCTGTCCCTAATTTCCGACTTTATCCGCTGTCCCATCTCTCCAATAAAGGCCCAAAAAGTAAATCTTTAAATCGTGCATGCATGTGGTTTTCCAGGATCTGGAAGAGATAAAGAAGGAGCTTTCTAAGACTGGCCAGGAGAAGGAGGTAAAGGAGTCGAAGGCGAGCCAGCGTTTGACTAAGAGAGTGAACCGAATGATCGGTCGCATCGACAAGATAATCCTGGAGCTGGAGAAGGACAAGGTCATCCTGGACGGACAGATGGACAGCGGAAACTCTCCACCTGTGGGGTAAGAGTTGGATGTGTTGTTCTTTCTGCTGCTGTTTGTGATTGTTCATAACGTTGGGTTTAATTTCATGATGCTATGTAGTGTAGCTGCAGTGTAGCAACGTGGCCGTGGGCAAGTTTGTAGCGCGTTTAGCTTAGCTTCGTCGCCACTCGTTCTTTGCCGTCTGCTTGGCTTGTCAGGGCCTTAAGTGTGGACAAGAGAAAATAAATTAGCATATTTCAAGGATAGTTGAAGAATGCTGTGCTGGCTTTTCATGGCTTTGCTTCATGTTTCAAGCGTTGTGTGTTTCTGTCAAACATCAAGCTTCTGAAAGTGAATGGTACAAAGGCAACTTTTTTACGCAGAGAATGAGAGAAAGAAAGTATGAAGTCTCCTAAAATGTTGACTTTGCATCATTTTCTTTGGTTCTCATGACACATCACAGCTTAATTGTCAGCAATTTGATATTATATGTCTGAGATTTAAAGGCTTACTATGCGACTTTCAGAGCAGATTTTCAAACCAAGAGAAAACGCTCTCTTTGGACACACCTCCTTCTTCCTTCAGCTCCCCCCACGCCTCACCTCCTGTTCGCCATAGAGTGTTTGGTGTCGGTGCTTTCACAAATGCACAAAACTTGCACAAAATTTTCAGGGTGAACCGAGTTTATGAACTCAAACAGCCAAATCTTTCACTTCAACTTTACCCGCAATATTCTGCCAGTCCCTTTGTAACTTTGCATGTGAAGTCGAGTGAGCCGATGTGAGAACTCAGCAGGAAATTTTCAGGAAAATTCAACGCAAATGGGTGTAAAGGTGTGAGAGTATTGCGCAACTGGCGCACGACCGCAGACTATACACACTATCGGTTCAATCTCAGTGCACATAATGAAACTGCTTCAGTACGTCATGCCGTCAGTTGTGCTCTTGCAACTTCGCTCAGCACCACTCTAGAAACAGCGTCCCTGAGTGGGAGAAACCGTCTCTGAGTGAAACATTAACAAGCTGAAGGTAGCTCCATCCTGTCAGTGTGAATACAGAGCGGAGAACAACAAACCCAGAGGGAGTTTGACTTCGTTCTACAAAGTTATTTCTCCACAATATATTTACAAAGTGATTTTTGCAATATTAGTATTCAGAAAGTCGCTTATTCAGCCTTTAAGCAGAGATCAGTTTTTAAACTTGACTTTTTGAACAATCCTCATCTTCTTCTTCTCCATCATTTTCATCATCATCATCATCATCATAATTGTTTTCATCGTAAAATGGTGGTGGAGATACAACAAGGAACAAATGGTTTCCCAGACGAATACACAACAACATTTATTGTTAGTCATCAAGCTATGCCAGTTATTTAGTTTACAGTTGTAGAGACAAAAAAAAAAACAGTTCCTAATTGATTTAAAAATTTTACAGATTATTCTTTACTAAACGTAGTGATGCCACAAGGTAAGCTCAACTGTGGAAAACCGCCATTTGCTTGCTTGCTAAAATCTGACATTGCATCATGATTGTGGACCATCCGCTGCTGAAATGAGGGATGCACAGATCAGACGCTGGTATCAGATTTTGGCCCCATACCAACTCGTAGGAGTGGATCTGATATCGGGCAATTCATCGATATCAGCGTCATGAAAAGTGTTGGATCGGTGCATCCCAAACTGAAATTTCTCTGCAACAAGCCCCCTTCCTGCTCCCTACATCAAAGTGCTGCACTCTGGGTGTTGTATTGAAAATAGGGCTGTCAAATGATTAACATTTTAATCGCAATTAATTGATAAATACTAATAGTTAATCGTGATTAATCGCATCTTAAGTCACTTTTGAAATTCCATTTAAAAAAATATATTTTTAACGGTTTTAAGCTGACAGTACTTTACTTCCTGTGTGCTTTTATTTTGAAATAAAGTAAGGCCCTTCCTGTAGATGGAAGGTTAGGACATGAACAGAAACAGGAAGTAATTAGGGATCACAGACTAAAGTCAAACGGCTGAAAGGAACGGTAACAAAGGTCAATGTGTGATGTCATAAGGAGAGTTTTATCTACGGTGAGCCTAAAGGGACAAAAAAGCATGAGATTATCAGCCTTAAAAACAATTAGACCTTAAAGGTATAATATTTGTGTTGAGTAATTACATTACTTCAAATATTTCATCAGTTACCAAAGCCAAAGAAATCTGTAATTTTGTAGTTGTAAGGTCCCACCCATCGTGTCTTTTGTGGCAGCTGCCATGACAGACACGATGGGTTTTTGTTGCCGTGGAAACACTGGATGTTACGTCACAACTGCTGCTCTATTTGCGGTGACTACTTAAAAACGTCTTCAGTAAACATATTCTCTTCCTCAGGTCGGTTTCGCCTGGTCGTCATGACTACGGCCAACCCTGAGTTCGTTTTTCATGGGGTTTGGGGGGAGGCAGAGTAGCAGAGAGAATCACTCCCGTGATTCCCCGCCAGCCTCGACATCATCATTTGTATCATTCGACATCATGGTTTTGATTGAGAGCTCCCTGGTGGTGGAATTTATGTGCTGTGCGTTTAATTAATTGCGATTAAGTAGTTAACGCTGACAGCCCTGAAAAATACTTAGTTTGTCTCAGATGAATGAAATCAGATTTAGTTAGTTGCATTAGTTTAGTTTAGTCAGTTATCTAATATTGTTAATCATCTGTTATTCCCTAAACTAAACACTGCTAACAATATTTTAGGCTCAAATTTAAATCATTGTTAGTTTTGCTAATTGTTTCATTTCGCTGAGTCATCGTCTTAAGTTTTAAACTCAATCAGCTTAAAAAACAAATTGCTAATAAAAATTCTCTATTAATTCAAAGTAACATGTTAGCATGAATTAACTTTGATCTAGTTGACGTGAATAGAAATCAAAATTAAATTTGTGTGATCGGTGTGATCTGGGAACCCCCGAATGCAGCATGTCGACTTCTCCACCGCATTTTACGTGCGGTCAAACCTTGTAACCGTTTCCTGTATGCAGTCTGTTCTACACCTTCAGGGAGAACCTCATCAGCATCGACGAGCTGATCGGCGTCATGCGGCAGATCCAGAACATTCCAGAGCACAAGCTGCAGAGCATCGCCGAGGCCCTCGACGACAACAAGGACGGGAAGATCGACATCGACGACGTCATCAAGGTACGATAAACGGAGGATACAGCTCAGATTTATCGTCTAGTTTAATTAGTAACCACATCAAATAACCTTTATAAGTTTGGTTTTGAGGATAAAATGGGGTTCATTCAACTTACAGAAACATCTGGGACAACATCGAACTTCTGTCACCTTTTTTTTTTTTTTAAATCATTTTGAGATCCGTTACGGCCTCCTTCAACAAAATAATTCAATCCAAGGCTCAAATCATGGAGACCATGAAAACATGACACACAGATTTAAAGTTTGAAAACCTGAGCTTTATTAGATGTAAACATCCCCGCCCAAAGTAATCAAGGAAAGATGAGAAACAAAAGGGGCTGGAGACGCGGCCGGAAAGAACAAAAGATGGGACGGTCCCTTTTTCAGTTAAGCTCATTAATGAGCAAAAAATAGAGGATGAACGGAAAACCAGGAGGCCCCCAATGTACCGAGAACTGTAGACACGTATGTATGAAACTGTCTGGAGTGGCATGTGTACATGTGCACAGTGCGCCTGTGACTGTAGGAGTGAGTGTGTGTATGTGCGTGTGTGTGTTTTATGGATGGATACGTAAGCAGACGCTTGGGTGAACTGTAGCACAGATAAGCTAAATCTTTTTTGCACATTTGTAATTACTGTTTTTATGTTGTTTTGGATGTATTGTCCATGCAGCAATTTCCCAGCATCCGAGACAAATTTCTTCCTAGGGAGACGAATAAAGAAACCTTGACCTTGACAACCATGTACAGGGGTGATTCTTGAGTCTGTTGGGGCCCTGGGCAAAAATGTATTGGGGGGGGCCTCCAAACAGCGTTCAACGCCATCATGTCTGCAGGTGTCCCGACGCTTCCTCCACTTCTTTTTTCTCTCCTACAGACGGATAATTCTCTTAAATTTTTCTTTGGTGACTTTCATTGACAAACTTTGCTTTCACAGCATTAAAGCATGGTAACAAAAATGGGGACCCCTGAGGGAGGATTCCTTCTGTCATTGCAGACCCCTACTGGTCTGAGGGCCCCAAGCAGTTGTGCCTGCCTTGCCTGTTGACAAGCAGCACCTTTGACCACATAGATCCCCGTAAAAACTACCTAAGAAGAAAAGATTGACCTAAAGGAACAAAAAGACAGAAAATAGGAGCACCAGGGATCCCGAGCCCAAACTAAAAAAACAAAACACAGAAACCTTGACATGTGTGGAGAAAAAACAGTAAAAATGTGGAACTCATCTAGTCGCCGTCTAGAGTGCGTGCGCCCCTGACTCTCCTACCTGGCTCCTCTAAATACCCCTCCTCCTCCTCCCTGAGCACAGATTGCACTCAGGTGTGCAGCAGGCGAAGGAGGAGGGAGAATGAACTAGAGAGAGAGAGAACAGGTGTGCACATAGAGGGAGAAACAGAGATAACGGGGCCACCATCATTTCCCAGACTTTGGTCTCCCCCTGCCCTGCTCTGTATCACTATCAGATTTAGAGTTTGTATCCTGATTGGTTCGATCTCAAATTGATCCACAAGACTCTTGATGCTAAATGCCAACATGTTTCCTCAAATTGTTTGTCTCCTATACAAACTTCATAACAACGAGAATTGTTTTCTGCATTTTATGTTCTGGAGAAATGTTTTTAATGAATTGATGAAAATTGGAAAAAAAAAAAATTGTTTTTTTTGGAGCTCCTAATGAATTTTCTTTCACCTCGCATCATCCCAGGTGGTCGAGCTGATCGACAAGGAGGACATCGACATCTCCACCACTCAGGTGGCGGACATCATGGTGATGCTGCAGAAGGAGGAGAAGCTGATCGAGAAGGGGAAGGCCAAAGAGAAGGCGGAAAAAGAGCAGGCAGCCACACTCAACAACTAACTCATATTCCAAGAAAGACACACAGCACTAAAAAAAAACAAAGACCACTGAGATGTTTGTGGCTGGTACCCGGACACAGAAACCCCGGTGCACCAGAACCTTCTGGACAGGTGAAGAGAGAGTCCTGAGGTAACAGCTGCCTTCTAAAAAAAAACCGCCATTTCATGAAAAATGTAGCTCCTAAACTATTATTTCAAAAATTAAATCAAAAGGCACAAAGTTAAAACTCTTCTGGACTAATCATGCAACATGTGTTGATATTTGGATTTAAATAATTTAACTGAATAATGTATTAACACAGGGAACAGAATGACAGGAAACTACTGAAAAAAATTAAGTTTGAGAAAATATAATCAGAAGATTTATAGTTTAAAGTTTGAGGTGAACCGTCTTGCCTTTTCCTCTCCATTCATGTCATCATCTCAGAGAAATGAGCGATCATTTCTGGACTTTGCACAGGAAAACAAAAAGAATCATTGTCATCACTTTCATTTTATTTTTTTTGGTTTTATTTATCCATGCTACACTCATATTGTGAACAAACCTGTTATTTCTTTTATGAACTGTACACGGACAGGGTAGATGTAAATGGTGGCTGCAACCAAATATGTAATAACACAGAGCAAAATGAAGTCATTCAACTTCACCAAAAAATCATGTGGAAAGCTTTATAATCATTCTAACGACGGCTTTGCGTTCATCATTTCCACTAAAAACCAAAGTACACGGAGAGTTTGTAGAAGTGTTGGATGTTTGATTTAATAACCAAGGACCGAAGCTAGCAACATTTTCATCAATATATAAAATAATATTGTACTGTTTTTGCTTTTTATTTTGTATTTAATGTAATAACATGTCATCTCAATTTAGCACAGCTCTTCTTATATCTCTTCCTCTTTCGTTCTGTAATTCTCTCCAACAAGCCAGAGTTGAGCCGTAGAACTCCTAAAATCAGCTAAAAGACGACTGATAACGGGAATTTGAGAGCAGGGGCGTCCAGACTTTGTTGTACTCGGGGTGGCACTGACTGGTGCAGGGGGGGCCTTGAAGTTTGTGTGCACACACATGAATGAAGAGCGTTTATTTGCCCCTTCTGTCTGCACCAATCACAATCCGACTTTTAAGACCAGATGATGGTGACATAAACATCTTCTAAGCTTCATTCTTCAAGGACTCAAAACAAATATGAACGCCCAAAGTCACAATTTAAAGTAGTGTTGTACTCAAAATCGGTCTTGGTCTGAAGATATGACCTTTATGGTCTCAGTTTGTCTCGGCCTCGCCCTGCTTAGTGTTGGCCTTACCTCGGTCTCAGAGCACTCTGGTCTCGGGTATGTCTTGGTCTCGGTTAGTGTGGTCTTATGAGCTTCCTGTTGGGACACATGGGCTTCCTGTTTTAGCACAAGTCCCAACTCTCGCAAGGCACATAGCCGATCATTGTGAAGGATTTTGGGGTGGCCAATATGGTTTGAACGGGGTCAATGCCACCCATCTGGACACGCCCCTTTTGAGACACATACCAAGTCATAATTTAATCTTTGAAAAAATCTCCAATGATCAATATGCAACGTCAATGTGAGAAAACATCTGCTCATGTGGAGTGTGCACAGATTTTGAATTATTCTGAAAATGCAAAGATAAGACAGCGGCTTTCTTTAACACTTATAAAGAATATTTAAACATTGAACTAACTTATTTCTCGGGTCTGTTGCTCTGCTGCAGACAGTGCTGAAAGTATTATAGACTGTGTGAGTGTGAGCGCACTCTGCTGGACAATCTGTGTAATGACACCTCTTCTGGGTCACCTTAAAACTCCTGTGTAGAGTTTTTTTTAAGTTGGTTATGAAACAGAATAAAATTAATACTGAAGCTTCTTTATGAGCCTCAAAAGCAAACAAGACCAACAGCTCAAGGATTGAAGATTCCTTGAAGTTATTTTTAATGGCTGAACATAAAGCTGCAGGGTCGGTGTCGAGCAAGACGATTAACAGAACCCCGTTAAAAAGACGTGTTTGACTGTAAACATCTGGATAACCGAAGAGATGAAAGGAACAGATTTGACTGCAGGGGGCGCCAAAATCAGCACAAATGAATAAGTTCCTCACAGGAGCTTTGAGCACGATCGTCTGTATGAAATGAAATGAAAAGTGTTTTCTCCTGCACCTGTTAGAAAACAGAAATGCCGATAGCCGTTAATGTTATCTGGTGGCCATATTGGCAGACAGCTGTACCAGTCAGGCTCTGACTAGCTGGTATATGAAAGCAGTGAGGATAATGTCAGTGTTGGGCCGAATGTTTGTGGAGCAGTTGTAGTTTGACGTCTGTTTCTGGGAGTCTGAGGCGGCTTCTTGTGAACGTTCAGTGGTTTAGTTTGAGCTCGTTTTAAATTCTCTGCAGTTTGAAGCAAAGTGGCCTTCTCTTGTCTTGGCGCAGGTATTTTGAGTCGTATACAGTTTGTCTATTTATTTTGTTTAGAGCGTTTTGTATAGAAAGTTAAGGCAGACATTCTTCTCCTGGAGGATGGACTTGATGTCATTTAGTTTTTTAAGATGAGACGAGCGCAGGTGAGGTTCAGGTCGTTCGACGCACACACCGATTCCTCTGTTTTTGATTTGTTATATTTGCACTGTGGCGATGAATGTGTGTGAAGAAAGAGGAGGATTTAATTTAATATTTGATCTTCTCCTCCTGTGGACGTTTGGTAAATCGTGCTCACACGGCGATCAGCTCGGGAAATGTGGAAAATTCTGTTTTCTGACCCATCTCGTCCTTTAGAGCTCGGCTGAAGACAGGAGACAAAGCGGTGCTGAAGTGGAAGACGCTTCATTTATTTAATCTGTTTATTGAATCCACTCTCAGACGTGTAGACAATTAAGAGGCCGTTCATCTCTCATGAGACGTCTGCGTTCCCCCCTGACAGGACGAGGGGTTCTCGCTTGGGTCTGGGACCAGTCAGACTGATGGGTGCAGGGTAAACACTCGCCCGTACATGGTGCACAGCCAGCTCCTCTGGAGGGTTGTGTTTAGGTTAGAGGCGACCCCTGCGGGACATGGCACTCTCCCTGCAGCGTAAATCAACCGTCAGCGTAAACACGTCAGCGAAATATTGTGACAACGTCTCGATTACACTCGGCAGGAGAGAGAGGTGTTTGTGAAATCACGCCTGACAGGACAAACTCAGGGGAGCGCTGTGTACATTTGAAAGCACTGCCACCGTTTCTACGCACGGAGTGGGACGAGGTCTTTATGACGGGGAGGTATTTTAGTGTTTTTAAAGAAGCATCTCAGTTTGATTGCACACTCAACCTCAGCTAACGCAGCGCAACATCTCCATGGAAACGTCTCCTTTCTTACCCAGAGATTTGTAGCTACTGAGAGTGAATCAGTTGTGCAGTATGTGCAGTATTTGGCTTTTATTAACCTTCAGATGCTGAGTTACACATTGGATGTTTTAAAAATAAAAAAAGGATGACATTTTTTGTCAGATAAAACAACCTACACGTGTACATAAGATCAGCAGAGATGCATCGTCCTGCTTTGTCCACAGGGGGCAACACAACCCACGATAAGTTCCTCACAGGATCTTTAAATCATTCCCATTTACTTTGAGTATTTGTGTTACTGCGTCCCTGAACTACCGCTGTATGAGAGGATGCGAAGTGTTGAAAGCCTTCAAAGAAATCCTGGAAGAGAAATCTCTAAATGAAATGAAAGCATAATATAAAAATGAACGTCAAAAGATGATGTTTGCTGATTCTGACATATTTTAATAGTAAGGTCGTCGAGATTTTCATAACCCTTCAACACCCGTGTTTAAATCGATAGAATCTCTGCTGTGTTGATGATCGATAATAACAAGAAGCACCAAAGCTTAAAAACAAAAAACAGGTCAGATTTTCTGTCATAATTTTAACTAAAAGGCAGAATGTTTCGCTGTCTCAATGTTTCAACATATTTGTGCAATTCAGACGGTTTGCAGGAGTTTGATTGGTAATTAAAAGCAACATTTGGGCTTCTTTTTGTTGCCGTTGTTTGATTTTGAGTAGAAATGTCTCAAAGTTTAAAAAAAATCTGGCATCGGGACGACCCCAAAAACAGAAGGATCCTGCAGCTTGTCGAGGTCTGGGGGCTGCAGTGTTTGTAGTCAGGCAGAATTCAGAGCTCTCTGCTGGGAGCGGTGTTACGTTGTGTTGTACAAGCCGCTTTCTTTTAAATCCTTAAAAACGACGTAAGGAGAGATTCAGTCGCAGGAGACGCTGACATCACTCTTTTGTCGACTCCAGAAGCAAAGCAAACTGATTTTTAGTGACTTTATTTCGACTGTTTCAGCCGCTCGCTGTCAAAATACTTCATCTCGCTCTCTGGAGAATCTGCCGCTGTGTTATTGCACTATTCTACATTTTTTTTGATATGGGAGGTGTGGCGGTGTGGCGGACTCAGGGGTGTGAAAGTGGAGTTTGCGTTGTGTAAGCTTCAGGAGCTGAAGTCGGTGCGTGTCGGTGCGATCGAGGAGACAAACCGTCCTGAAAAAAGATTCCTGTCGAGTTTTAACGAGAAAAGTCGATGATCTTTTTGTACTAGAAGAACAAATATTGAAAGCAATAAGTGGTTTATGCAACATGTACCTTACTTTGAGTTTTATTTGAACCCTTTGAGGCGTTGAAGCATATTGTAATATATGTAAATGAGAAACATGGTGTAATGATGCAGAAGGAGGAAGTGATTCTCTCCTCGATATCAGGCTGCTTGTTGAGATGCTTTGCTTGGTTATTACACCGACTTTTTGATGACAGATGTACCCGCTATATTTCCTTTTATAAGTATTTTGCACTAGACCTTTTTATCACTAGAGGATGCTACTTTTTTTTTTGAATATATATACGAGTATGCAAGTTTTCTCTCCGAGGTGGGAGAGAAGGGAGAACCGGAGGCGAGGATCAGCAGCTTATTTTTTTAAAGTCAGGGAAACACGACGCATGGTCCGAGTCCGTCTGTAAAGGAGCAGCTAAGACCTCTCTCAGGTCCAACAGGGAAGTCTGGAAACTAAAAAAAATATCTTAAAAAAACTAAATCTGATTTTTAATCCCATTTCCTTCAAAGCTGGAACGATGTGAAAAGTCAAAATAAAAACAGGACGTGATGATTTCTAAAACATTGAAACCTCATATTTACTTGAAGATAGCACAAAGACAACATGTCTTGTTTGTTGTCATGTTTTGGGAACCGAGGAAACTAGTTGCCCTAATTTAGAAAGTCTAAAGTCTAATAACTAACCGGTTGCATGTTAACTCTAATAAATTGTGAGATGTTCCACCAGGTGATTTTTCTTTTGTCGACTCTGTCCCAACTCGTTGAAAGGTGTTGCCTTGACCTCAACTTCAAAACGGGCACATCATTCTACAAAAAGCAGAGGTTAGGGTTAACATCTGATTTTTTTTTTTTTTTTTGCTGTTTCCAAGTAAATATGAGGATTCAAAGTTTGAGAAATGATCAGATTCTGTTTTAGGCCGACACAAAGTCCCAGCTTCTTTATGATAGTGCAGCCACCATCTTTTAGAAGAGCGACGTTAATGTCCTGAAGTTGTGTTCAGGCAGAACATGTCGAGGTGTTTGTTAACTAGCGAGCGACGCAGTTATCTTCGTCGATCTGAATTCAACTCATCGTAAACTCTGAATCTGTCTCATGTTTTCGTACAAACACAGATTATCATTCAAGATTTACCAAATCAGCTGAGAATGAAAAGATGAAACGTGCTTCTCTTTCTGCCTGAACACATCTTAATCGAGTCGTTTTCAGGTTGTAAATGTTCTAAAGCGGCTTCTTGGACGCCATGAACGGCTAACATAATATTAAACGCCAAACGTAGTTTTGAAATGAGGTACTTAAAAAAAGATTTAAGTCAAGGTGTTGATCTGTTGTGGTTTTAAAAAAAAACAGCAGAGAAACGTTTAAAAGGTGAGGCGACATGTCAGAGTTTATCTTCTTTGGTTATTTTTTGTTTTTGAGTTTCAACGATCACCCACTGGACATAATCATCATGTTTTATTTATTTATTTAATCAAGTTTTCAAAAAAAGTTTATTTTTGACTCATCCAAATGTACAAAAATGACCCTGAACTGGATTTGACCTGTTTGAAAAAAAAAAAACCCTCCGTGTTCTTGTTTAGACTCTCATCGAGTATTTCCTGAAAAAAAAAAAAAAAAGACATCATTTAGAAAAAGTGAATCAGACGTGTTGAATAAACTTTGGATGATCCTGGATTCTTCTTTGTTTCATTTTCGTTCCCGTTTTTGCATCTCATATTTCCTGTCGTCTCTCCTCACACAACTGTTTTAGGTTGTGTGTGTGTGTGTGTGTGTGCGTGCGTGTGTGCCACTTCTCAAGTCTTCCATGCAGCCATTTTTTATCCCTCCTCATCCCTAACCTTCACTCCTCAGGCCTCGTCTCCACACAGCGTTTCTTTCCGGGCAGAAAAGCGTCCGGCTGTGCGCTCCAGAGTGTTTGCATAAAGTGCTGCACGACCGTCCTGTCTCCATGACAACAGCCTGTTGACCACGGCCGCTGTATTACCGACACTGCTCAGTTACTTAGATCGCTTTTTAACCTGATCAGACACAGAGCGAGGAGGATGAGGGCAAAACTACGAGGAATATCAAACATTTGGAAAAGAGCGCCGGAGAAGTCAACAGCGCCTTTCTGAAAAGTTGAAAGATTCTCAACTTGAGCACTTAGAGCGGCCACAAAAAAAGCGAAAAACTCGGAAAAAAAGATGATGCTTACTTGCTGCGCTTTTTTCCTCCAGTCGTCCGCTTTCTGCTGTGAATGCTTTCTCCTCGTTTGAAGAAGAAAAGACGATGGCGCTCAGAATAAAAACGCTCGGTGGACACGGGGCCTTTTCGTCCAACCTCACCACATCGCCACCCCTCCCCCTCTGTTGCTGGAATTTAACCAGACTTTCATGCAAAATAACCAGGGTGAAAGTTTAGAGAATAGAAAGTTTAAAAAAAAGAATTGAAAAGTTAGTAAATTTATAGAATAAAATAATATCGATTGACAGAGAAACTACCACGAGTAATGACATCGCTGGACGAGGATGCATTGGAGGGAAGTTAGAAGCTGCTCACATCTAGACTGTTACATCAAACCGATGAAGAAACTACGAGGGGGGGTTGGGGGATAAAGTCAACAGGTCCAGTATAGAGTCTGGTAGGTTTACATCCCCCCAGGTTCAGGGGGTCGGCGATGGAAACCAAATCTGCTCCCTGAACTGAATCGTGCTGCCGCTGTAAGCAAAACAAATTACATTTATATTTATAGGAATTTAGTTTCCACAAAGAGAGACGAGCTACACGAGAGCAGCACGGCACTTTAAGAGATTTATGAAACTGATTTTGTTTTTGTGTGTATCGTGGTGAGTAAAATGTGCAGAAATGACAATCAGAGCCGGAGCGAGAACTGAAGCGGGTCTGAGGGAACTCGTGATCTCCCTTCATGGTAACTTTTTAAACATTTAATCAAGAACACAATCTTTCCCTTCACATGACAGAGTTCTGGAAATGCCTGAACAGAAACAGAAACGTGAACAGTTTCATGAGAATTATTTCACTATAAGCAGATATTGGAGGGTAACAGGAAACACTTTCAGTCGTAACTGAACGTTCAGAATTGAAGTGTCAAGTTGCAGATTGTGGTTCTGTTTCCTTGTTTTAAAATGTGTGGTTGTTTGATATAAGTTGTGTGAGCAGGGTTGGTACACGCAGGAGACTTAAGGCAAACGGAGTTAAAGGAAGAATGTGCGACTTCTTGATCCAGTAGAGGTCGCCCCTGAGCACCAAAACAACCTTAAACAAACTGCTGTTTGGCAACAACTCAGCTAAACCTGAAGCCTCCGCTCTCCTCCAGCGACACACCTCCAACCCCCCTTCACTCGTGTTCACACAAAGGAGTTATCAAATGTACACCATGATTAAGAACCACTAAGCGCAAGCGGTTGACAAAATTGTCCTTTCCTCGAGCTGCAATCACCTGTGTCCTGCATTGTTGTGTTAGCATGCTAATGTTAGCGCTCTTTAGTTAGCTCATAAATGAGCGTGATCTAAAAACTCTTACTAACATCCAAATAATCAGTGAGTATGTTCTTCTTCTTCTCTCTAGTTCTTGACTAAAACAGCTTTTATACACAAGGGGAGGAGCCGGCCGTCCCGTCCATGTAAACACGGCTCTGACAACAACACAGCCAGCGGGACTCGAGCTTCTCCCTCATTGTAGACAGTCAGGACTCAGAGACACATTTACACAGGACACACTGGATCTCTGCTGTTTTGATGTCGCACATTCTTCCTTTTAACATTTAAAAGCTGGGATGAAGTTTTGGATGTTTTATTGAATGGACACTTGACACAGCAGATCATTCAGACGTCCTAAATGTTGTATAAACTATTTAAATATATAAAAAAGGCCTTTCTCTTTTAAAACACAATTGTACTTTAAATATGCTCATGAGTCGGTTGGGTTTCCTCGATGTGCAGCAGGTAATAACATCCGAGGGCTGCATGTGGAAGAAGGAACATCCTTTACTGGGTTGCATGAAAGTTTGCAGGTGAAAATGTTCAAACTGTGACGTCTGAATCTGCAATGTTTTCATATTTCACGTTCCTGCTGCAAAGAAAGAATCCTCCACAGACTGTCGTCCTGTGAGCTGGAGACTCTGGTGATGACGTTTTCTCTGATATGTAAACTGACTGGACCAGCATGCTTCACTCTCAGACTGTGAGGAAATGTTCGGGCTCTTCATCTACAGTTTAACTCAAGACGATGAGGAAGAAGAAGAAGTGACTGTTGGGACACAAAGCAGCTGACGTCTTTTCAGCTGACGTTTCATCCTCTCACAGGTGCTTCATGCTTTTTGTACTGTAACAACTTCTGTCTCTTTTTATGGTTTTCTGCAACATCAGTGCCTGGGGATCATTTTCACTGATGACGCTGCTTAAAACAAGCTGTCCTTCAAATGCTGTTAACACATTCAGCTCTTGTTTGGGTCAAAAGCAGATTCAACGGCTTTAGTGTCAAATTTTTTCCGATAACAACTGAAGATAACAAAAAAAAACGGTTTAGCACAAACTAATAATTTCAACTTTCCACGGCCTCCCAACTTGTTGTGCTAACAAATCTTTGCTCCAACAACTCACATCGTTTGCTTTGTTGACATGGTTGCAGCAGAATAAGAGAAGGCGATTGGATCATTATCATCCAAACAGAATCAGCTTCATTAGCCGTGTATGAGTACACTGACTTCTGAAAACTGTGCTCTCTATATAAAAAAAGTCCAACATTAAATATTAAACAAAGACTAATCTGTACAAATCTGAGAAGGACGAGGCGATTATGTTGTGCATCCCATGTGCAGAGGCTAAAATCCTTGACGCTGCAGTCGTGGGTTGGAATCCAACCTCGGCCCTTTGCTGCATGTCATACCCCGACTCTCTCCTCCCAACATTTCCGTTCTCTCTTCAGCTGTCCTCTCTAATGAGTAAAGCAGCAGTGCAGTGGTGAGGTGTGCAGAAGATGCTACCAGTCGAAAAAGGTCAATATTTGATGCTCAACTGACTTAAAGTCTTAAAGTCGGCGGCACCTTCACCGAGTTTGACAGCAGCTCTCTGACCTTCAGTCATAACAACAGACTGTAATGTGACTCACTACAACCAGAAACACTTTCATTCCCTCTGCTGCTTCTTCAGTGCCTTCTAATATTCAGTTTGATTTATGACATTTCCATCGCTTGCTCTTGATATTCAGTTTAATTCCAATGTGTTTGAAGGTTGTTCAAGTTAAAACTTTCTGTTCCTGTGAGGACTTTGCGTTCACCTGTTGAACAAACAAAACAGGGGCAATGAATATAACGGCCACAAGAGGGCGACAGATACAGACACCCCCAAAAACTTTCTTAATACACAATTTAAAAAAAAAAAACGTCTTTGTTGTTTACAATTTAGCAAAAAGATTTTCCCGACAACCTCACAAATCTTAAGTCCAATTTTCCCTTTTTCTATGAGCTCAAAGTTTGTTCCCCACCAACTCCTGGAGATGTTCTGGCCATCTAGCAGCTGGATGCTCCGCCATGTTTACTCCGAAGCTTAGAGCTGTTTTTTGAAGTATGAGACACGTTAATGAGGGTTGAGTTTGCACGCCATAAAAGCGAAACAACGACCCCAGATATAAAAGTTGTGAGATCATCGAAAGCATGCACAGGTAAAATAGGAGGTTGCATTCTGCCCATGTTTATAGTTTATATTATATAATTCCTCCTTGACACACTTTGGATGAACCACATTGGTGCTAATTGATAATGTAACACCTTCCAGATGATGTCATTACTCTTTTATTTTGGATTGTTTCATGTTGGCTCCAGGCGTCTTCGGTTCAGTTTTCTTTGTGATTTATAGTTTCAAACCATGTTAGAGATTTATGTTCACTGCTGTTCTTCCACGAGTCACGACAGCTGAATGTCACACTACAGGCCTCGTGTTGCTGTGAAGGGAGAAAAAGTCTGGAATTAAACATTCAAATGTGGTAAAAGAAGAAGAAAGTGAGCGGCGACCATCGATGTAAATCTTCACGAACATGCAGAGGTTTATGATCCCTGTTCAGGGTGAGAACTGTCACCACTGATAGTGAAACTGTTTAAATCACACTATGCTGTCTGTCTGTCTGTCTGCTTTATAATCTGCTGATGAACGAAGGAGACCTGAACACACCTGAGACTCCTCCTGGATTATTCACACGCTGCTGTGATCACGCTTGAAATAAACTGCAATAATAAATCTCTGAACACAGCTTCCCTCCGCTGCTCTGTCCTCTCTGATTGCTGTCTGTTGTAAAATGTAAACAGCCCAATTTTTAAAACAGTTGTACAAAAGATTATTCTCCTCCCTTTAAAGTTACCCTTGAGCAAGGCACTGAACCCCAAACCACTCTGTCTCTCTCCCTGTGTAGCTGCCTGACTCTGACATCTCTCCTTTAACGCATGTGCTGTTTGTGTATGAGTGTAATTTGGGTCTTTGTGTGTTTGAGAAGCATGTTGCTGAAGCTTTGCAAATCCACCCAGAATTAAATAAATCAATGAAACATAAACATAGGACTTAATAAAACCAAATATAAATCTAAGAGTCATGAATGAACTGACAGTAAGAACATAAAACAGGATTTACTCTTGGCATTCAGTCGGGTGATGTTTGCAGAGTGGCCACTAGATGGCAGCGTG